AGCAATGGGAAAGAAAGTACTTGAGAAAAGGAATGAGTGGAAGCTCTTGTATGCAGATGCCATTTTTCTGACTCAGATAGTAATAACAGTTATCAGAGGAGTGCCCGCATATGGTTACTTGTAATTCTTCAGAAACCATACAGTTTGTTGTCAAACAATCCTGCGTTTTCTGGTAGATTTGACAGTTTCTCTGAGGAAGTTCTGCAGAGTCCACTTAAGAAGAAAATGGGTGTCATATCTGAGCAAATGGGGACTCATCTGACTCAGAAGTTGATTTTCTTCAGCAATATTTCCAAAACCCGGTAGTCTTCATAATGGATTTCAAACCCATGAGTAATGTTTATGATGACAATTCCTAGGAACTAAATCACATGCTTCTAATCTATAAGAAGCGGTACCTTTGAGGTAAAGGATTTTTAGTCAATTTTGAAATATTTCGTAAGGCTACTGAGCAGAAGAACCTGTGCAAATAATTGCAATAGCTTTGGCTTCATTTTTCTAAGTATCTTTCCCTGCAGACAGGATAATCTACTGTTGAGCAATGCTTTTAACTAGACTAGTGAAACAAAAATACACTGAGTTTGGAACAACAATATTTGCTAATCAATCATAGTGAAGTAGATAATGCAAGAAGTAGTCAGAAAGAAGTGTATGTTTGTGTGTGTGTATGCTTTGATATGAACCTGAGCAATCAGAATTTTTTTTTCCATTTCTGAAGTTTATGCCTAAGACAATCCTAGAGTGTAAAGTCCCTTCAGGTAAAAGGGTAAAGGTCTTCTCTTCACATCACATTCTTATTTATTATATGGAAGGTTTGCTGACAGTGTACCCATACTACATTGGTTCATAACTCACCTTATTAATTCCTCACAAAACAATAATAAAAGAGAAGTTGTTTGATCATTTATTTATCCTAGGCACACAGTAGCAGTGGGGTGGTTCGAAAAGGGAATACTATTAGCACAAATCCGATCAGTATTTGTGTAGAAAGTTTTTCAACAACATGGGGCAATATATATATTTTTCTCTCTAGGTAATATATATTCATATACACATATACAGAGACAAGTAAACATCAGTTTACTTTTTAGAGAAAAAAACTTAAACTTTATTGATAGGCTGTGAATTGTTAAGTCATTGTCCATGTAACATAAAAATATGTCTCTTTCCCAGCTCTCCCATTTCTTTTCCAGGGATTTAGAATGCTTGCTGATACATTCTTGTATTTTTCTCCAGGGAATTTTCTTCTGTAGACAGGAACCCAGTTATAATCATGATCACTTGTAAATGTCTGTATCAGTACAACACTAGGAATTCATATTGTAAGATCATGGTTTAAGCAAAGTTGTCCAATTGTAATCTGATTACAGATGTAAACATTAAGTACCATATTTTCGGGCTGATTTTTTTTAAAATTGACAATTTTTTTTTATGAGCACTTTTTTGGAGACAGCCGCTACAGCGAATATTTTTCTATTTTTATATTATATTCTTACCTAAGAGCTCCAAATTAATGAAACAGTTTACTTTTCTTCCCATACTTATAATTCTAAACTACCATACAAATACAAGCATTGAAAGGTGGAGAATGAGAAGGTATATGTCACCAGGATATGATTTAATTGATTTTGTTGCCATAGTTACTACCCTTCTGCTTATAATGTTTTAAAAGTAGTGATTCAGTATACCCATTTTGAGAAATAGGATTACTAATTCAAAAATACCTAAGCAATCTGTTTTTATACTGAAATTTTATGGTGCAATTTTAAGTAGAAAAGCCTGGTTTTTAATTAGAATCATACAGAAAATATCCTTTTGATCCAATCTTCCTTAATGTTTACAATTTTAAGTACTGTTTTGATAGCACAAGGAAACAGAAAGCAAAAGAAAAACTTTCAAGATCTCATAAGTTCAGACTTTCTACTCGGTCATAACAACAACTGAATTAAAGAAGTGCAACTCTCCTGTTGAGGTTCTTTCAGAAAGTCACCAGAAATGTATGAGTCTTATTTTTGCTGTCTACTTAGCTCTCACAGTTCTTGCAGGTCAACCTACTTTATTATTTCCATTTCTGCAACCTTCTCAGCTCTGAGGGTGATTCAGCTAGTAGTACACTTCCCTCTCAATCAGTAAACAAACCAAGTGATACTCACTGTGCAATTCATCTTTCAAATGAATAATATGAGTAAGGTTGTGATCTCTTGGTAGTTTGTAATACCCCACAGAACATTTGCAACCCAGGAACTTTGTTTCTTTTATCTGAGGCTTAGTTTGCTAAGACTGTAATCAATACTGAATTTTATATAACATTTTGTAAATTTTTACTGAATTGAAATGACAAAAATATTTGTATTTGTCACCATTATATATACATGTCATCTGATCTCCATATTACGGTGGCACATATCTGAACAACTATTTTTCCTGTAAAAATATTCACAATCAAATTATGATTTATATTCACCATATGCTTTTTATGGTCTTTTGACTTTACACTGAACCTGTTCTTTTTCTTTCTTCAGAGTACAGTAAAATATTTAAACCATAGCAAAAGTGTGTTAGTTTTGAAATCTCAGTAAAAATTCAGTATTGATGGTTATTATTTGACTATCCAATACCTTGTACTCTTATAATGCCTGAAACAGTTTAGTTATCAAAGGGCTTCAAGAGCTTTGAGTAAAGACATTAACAAGTTGAAACCAGATAGTAATGTCTTCAGGTTAACATGGTTCTGTAATATGTTACACTTTTCTTTGGGATTGTATTTTAGTTTAACACGTTTGTAAGGCAGGGAAGTAATCTCCATTATATTGACACAAATGAAACCTCCTGCTCAGTTACACAGTGACATCAAAATCTGAATAATTTCATCTGGTCTCAGACATAGCTCTCCTTTTAGTTTTAAACTTCAGATATTTCCCTTCAATTCTGTCCGTGAATTATTTGATTGCATACCAAAGCCATTAGGTCAGATTCATTTATGACTCTTCTAGTATTGTAAAAATGAACCTTATTTTACCCCAGAAGCAGCATCACAATGACGATGGGTGAAGTGACTTTTTTATTGTATGTTCCTTAGACACTAAAAAGCTAAAAAATGTGTTAATGGTTTCATTAATTATCTTGCTCTAAAAGAGGTTTCATATTATTCTCACATCCATTTTCCCTCTCCATGTTTTCCCTTCCATGTTTCCACGACATTTTAAAAGTATGTCAATGAAATAGCTATTTCAATAGTGTTTCTTGCAATGCCATGAATTAAAAACAACTCTGTCATGTTCAAAGCTCTCCCTTGCTTTTATAGAAGAAAGTCACTGTAATACTTTTGAAGTTCAGATTTTTCCTAATGTCCTTCTCAATACTAGAGCTTTGACTAGTGCTTTTCTTTCCTGTTCTTCACTCCATTTGTACAATCTGTACTTCAAGTTTTCAGATCTATTCTTTTCTTTTTTTAATATTTTTAGTGTGACATTGGCTAACCAAAAGGATCCATACATTATTGGGCACAATTGGTAATTTCAGAGCAGATGTATGATCTCTCTGTAGTGACTTGATAAATAATTCTATAATTTCTTAATCAGATTTTTTTCAATAACAAATATTTTATTTTTCTTTCAAATAGGGCTTCATTATATATTTATAGAATTTATATGACAAGCAGTCCTTGTGAAACTGTATGTTCTTGTCAGCACATAACAATACCCTCCTAATCTGTTCACAACTAAAATGTTAACATTTCTTACTATATTCCTTAAAACACTAATCAGCTAATGTTTAGACAAATCCCTACATCTTTGTATCCATATTATCCTCATCGAAGTGAGGTTTTTCCATACACATGAAAATTCAAAATCTTCAACTGGTATACACAGGGATAAATGGCAGAATGGGGATTTTTTTTCCTACCCTTGTTTTGTAATTATTTAAGCACAGAGATACCTCTCCGCTTAAAATTAGAACAGATTTAAAATAATAATTGAGGAAATTTTATTCTAAGATGTTAATAAATATTGTTAATGATTTGCCCTTAGATATGTCTTTTCTTGAAATTATCTTGTAGCACATCCCTTGCTAGGTAAGTATCTACTTCCCCATTGTTTTAATGTTAATCCCAGAGGATGCATCATCTGTCATTTAGTGTTCAATATAAAACAGCTCATTTTGTTTCCTTTCACTCACTGTAGAAACAGAGCACAAGACAGTCCCTCTGGTGTGTTCTTCAAAACTGTGATCTCACTGATTAAAATGCAGAGAAACTGGCATTTTTCCTTTATCTGCAGTCCATCATAACTTTATTGTTTGAATCTCATTAACACTGTGTTACTTCTCTCTCTGTAATATTGGCATTTTTGTTTGGGTTTTGGATTTTTTTGTTTGTTTATTTGTTTTGCTTAATTTTTCCCCCCTCTTTACAGGAAATTAATTAAAAATAAACATCCAAAAATACTGCATATAGATTTATTCGGTAACCTTCTGTGATAGCATTTGAATCATATCTTCAAGTATTTATATAACCTTCTATCATAATTCAGTGGAAGTACAAAATCTGATGTAATTTATAACTTCATGACTGTTATGCAAAAGTCATCAGTTCTTAAATATTTTTAGATGTAGCTTAACTTTTCTTAACTCTTCAGACTTTATTACTAAGATTAGAATTTATTAAAAAATTATTTCTAAGCTTCTGCATTGCTCTTGTGGATCTACCATTTTTTTCATGGGATATTTGACATAATGCTCTTATAAATATCTAAATGGTCAACTTTTCTTGCATATTTCTTATCCTTCATTACAAGAAAGACAGCAAGGCACTGGTACAGGAGAGAAAGAGCTGTTGAAGGGTCTGAAGCACAAGTCTTATGAGGAGCAGCTCAGGCATCTGGGTATGTTTAGCTTGGAGAAAAGAAGGCTCAGGGGAGACCTTATTGCTTTCTACAGCTATGTGAAAGTAGTGACAAGGTGGGAGTCAATAATAAGTAACAAGACAGAGAAGAAATGACCTCAAATTGCTCCAGGAGAGGTTTGGATTAGATATTTGGATTAGATATTTCTCTTTAAGATCCTGAATTCACTACTGAAAATGGGAAAATAATTGTATTCATTAGAATAAAATACTTTTTTTACGTTACCTCATCTCTTGAACAGTTTGGCATGCAATTTCTGCTATGAATGTGAAAGAGCACATATTTTTCCAAATCAATAAACTTATTCACTTAACTCAGAGTCATAACAAAGGAGTACCTATTGATCAGGAAACTGGACCCCATAGAATTTTCTGTAGCTTTTATACAACTTGGCTTACAGTAGTCCCTGAAGACCTTCTTATCATTAGATAGCAAGAGTTAAGGATCATTAATGAGTGATTTGACTGTCTTCACAGACATTTGTGAAGTAATTTTGTTTCTTATAGTATTCAGAGAAAAAAATACAAAACATAATCTGTAACCTGTTACTTGGGATAATTACTTTTCCTGTATGTATATGCATAGGGTTTATATCTTTTTAAAACAAAACAGTCCTTACTGTGTAAAAGATATTGCGCTGTAGTGTAAATATTGCATCTTGTAGCATTTGGCCAGTGAATAAGAGAGTATATTTTAAGTTAAGCAAACTGTATTGACTACTTACTCTGGAACATCTCTTCCTGTGCAGCTTGTCAACTATATTGGAAAATGTTGTGTTGTCTCAGGAAAGTGTTGTAAGCAGTAAAGAAAGAATTTAAAAGCCTTTTCACCAAGACTGGTTTAATTATTTTTTTTTTGACAAGTGTGACATTTCTTAAAAATTTTAAAGGTCTTCTTTTCTTAATATTATTTTTCTTCCATTAAAAATTATGCATGGCTTTTATAATATTCCTTCTGAATATATTTATTAAAATAAGTTCAAATCTTCATTTCAAATCCAAATGGAAACTGACCCCAGGTATTTAACCCCTAATTTGTATAAGCGTTATACTTTTGCAGATATAAAAAGTGTTTCATAATTTTGTTCAGTGGTTTAATTCCATTCCTACCAAAAGTGCTCATGTACATTAGGAGACAAATTATCTGCAGAAGTCCACTAAATCCTTTGGAGTTAAATTAGCAAGGAATTTAACTTCAAATATTCACTTTCAGTATTTCTCAAATCCAGTAAAGTCTCTCGATTTTCATTTCATTACAAGAATATCTGCCACTTGGACTTTAGCTATAATGACTTTCTTTTTTTCTACACATACATTTTTTTCTGTGAATGTTCACAAGCTGATGACTAAGATCTATGAGCAATACATGAAAATGATAGCATAAACTTAACTTGGGTTCATTTTTCATGAATTCCTGTTGGAAAGCACTTAGCCTTCAAATTGTTATTTCTGTTATGCCATTGTAGAATAATTTCCTCTCCTTCTATCCAGACATAGTAAAAAATAATTGGATAAAAACCCAAGTGGAAATTCCAATTTTGCATGGAAAAAAAAAAAAAAAGAAAGCAGTACATATTTTCTAAACTGGACATGCCTTGAGTAGGACAAAAATAATTTATACTTGTGATAAATGAAGCAATCATGTATCCCACAGTAAGTGAAGGAAGGAACACGAAAATAAACTTACCAGAAGTCTAGAGCCCAGAGCAGTAAAACTTGCAGATATGAAACTTATCTGATCTTCCCTGCTTCATGCTAGACTTAGGACTGTTCCTCCAAATGGAAGGCATGGGAGAGTCCTTTGATTTGGAGGAAAAAAGGGGGTGATGGGGCGAGAAACAGTTCTGATGTCTTGTTAACTCAGTAAGTCAATGCACAGGGTCATCTTATATCACTTCTGGTACTCCTGAGTTGAATAGAAATACAGCTCATCATTTTCCTTTTAAGCCTTACACATAGTATTTAGACAAAGACTTTATAACATTATAACAATAGTTAGGCATATTGGATTGATATTGTGGAGCTAATACTTTTTAACTCACTCCCTAGCATCTTCGTAATGTTAAAAAAAAAGTGGAAAAATGCCCAAATAATAATATACTTCATAACAATAGTGCACAGATGCTAGCTACAAGGCATCCCTTCCTCACATGTGAGCAGTACTAAATTTTATATGTCACTTGCAGCTTAAAAGAGGTATGGACTCTTCTAATCATGGATTCTTCTAATCAATAATACTTCAACATGAAATGCTGGCAAAAGCTATTTGATTTCCTTACTAAGATGATACCAGACTAACTTTTGCATATTACTCTGTAAAGTTTTGCTTAGAAATACCCTGGTCTACAAGAACTGGAAAGGGCAGTCAAGAAAGCCCAGAGGTCTCTTTGGAAACTTCTACTTTCTGAACTTGTCAAGGTATTTGTCATCTGACATAGAATAAATAAAGATGCTTGCAGAAATATAATGCCCTTACGAAGAGTCAGAATGGCTTCTGTACAAGAAAGTTCTACTTTCAACCATACTCAACTGTTCTGAAAAAGGTGAATTACACATACCTAAGGGTAATTCAGTTGATACACCTGAATTTCCAAAAGTTCTGTGACAACCTACCTCACTAAAGCTTACCAGGGAGAGTAAGTAGCCACAGTATAGAGAAGGTAAGTGTTTGAAATATAACTGTTTTAAAGACAGGGAACTGAATTTAAGTGCTCAGAAGGGAAAAGTCTAACCAGTGGAATTCTGCAGTGATATGAGCTTGGAGATGTTCTGCTCAATCCATATATACTGGCCTAAAAAAGAAAGTGAGCAGTGAGGTGAGAACATTTTTCAATGATGTTAATTTCTCCAGGATAAATGAATCTTAAAAATTAAATGGTTGAAAAATTAAATTGCCCATTAAAGACACTGTGATGGACTTCCCAAAGAATCCAAACACTTTCTGTAGGAAGTGGTTGCCTCTGTTTTACCATTTTCACTCAAAAAAACTTGGCAGTGTAATGAATTCTTCCTTGAAAAAGTTTCAGTGAGTAGAAATAATAATTAAAAAAGAAAAACGGCAAGTGAAATAGGGGGAATCATTAGGAAAAGACTGGAAACACAACAGAGGACTTCACCGCGACAGTTTTTATTTTTGTTGGCCTTTTGAATGCTGAGTGCAGCTCTTGAGTTTCCTTTCAAAAATTTCTTTATAGAACAGGAAGATAATCAGAAAAAATTGAAGATGCTCAGAATTATGGAATGGTTTTGTAATAATCTAGGATGTTGCAACTGGTAGACAGCTAAGGACATTTATAATACAGGGCTACAAAACTGTAAATGAAGCAAACAGAAAAAAAATAAAAACTGCTGTCTCCTTGGGGAACGTAAATCATGATGTACCAGATGAAGGTAGGAGGAGCTGAATCTACACAATGGGAAGTTGTTTTCTTGCTCCTCTGTAGCCAGACACTGATCAGGGTACATGCTGATTGCTGGTATGGGTTTAAATAAATGCTGAACTGAGCAGGAGAACTGAAATGCTGCGAAGCTTTCTAAATATACAAACCCCTCATCTGGCCTAGAAAGTCCAACACATGCACTTTGCTAGAGACATGAAATATATATGGGGAAAACATTGTATTTGATTGCCTTATCCTTACTCTTTTCCATACCTTAGTTATGACCATTGTGCAGGAACAAAAATTTAACTCGATAGAGACTTGTTTAATCCCTTAATATTGCATAATTCTTAACTTCATTTAATCTATTGTTAGTCTCATCTTTGTCACAGTATCTGCAAAATCCTGAAACTCCTATTGCTAAGTGTGAGATACTGAAATGTTAATGGTTAATGGCTCAATCAATCAGCCATTTGCAAAAGCAGCAGGTGCTCTGCTGACAATGTGCAAGGGAACAACCCTGGTGCAGAGTGTAAGGACTGCGGGATGACCATGACAAATAAACCTCTGTTAGCAGGAAGCTGGGTTTTGAGCCAGATAAGGGAAGAGGTCGATGAGAAGCAGACTCTGTGGAGGTGGAGTGGTGCTTTCTATCATGCCAATGTCCTCCCTTACGTAACTGGCTCAGTTGTAAAACTCTCCCTGAAGCCGTCATAGGGGAGATATTGGGACATTCCCACATAGGCCTGAAGGTATTCATCCCTTCTGATGGAGCATAAATAGCTCAACTACGCTGACATGAGAGGCCATTATCATATCTTAGAAAGTGCCATAAGTCATCAAAGACCTCCAAAGCGCCCCCAGAAGCGTTTTGGAGACCTTCCACCAGAGGACTGCATGTGATCCACAGTGCCACATCAGATAGTGTAAAACTACACCTCAACAAGTGGAGATATCTGAGTGTTCCCACCTAGCCTGAGTGTATATTTACCTGTTGAACTGTATGTTTCACAAGCTCCCCCCCACCCCCAATAGATCAAGACTGAGACCATCACTTCAACCACCTTCAGATATCTAAATTGAAACAGTGAAGTCTTGTTGCTGGATCTATCTTTCTACTCTTATCTTTTCTCTTTATCTCATTCTTTCTTCTAACTTCTTCTTGGAATATATTATAAGCAAGATTAAAAAAATTCAGTCAGTGCCTTAGTAAGTGTTCTGTTGTGTCTGGATAAGTTAAAAGTGGATAAGCTAAAAGTTTGGTAAGTTAAAGTTTTTGAAGTGCCTTACTTTTGATGTTGTTTTAAAATTTGCCAAGTCCCTTATTTTACCTTAATATTCTAAAGTTTGCAAGTAGAAGTTATGTTATTGAAGCTCCTGAGAATTTTGCTGGTTCTGCTCACTGCCCAGAATGAATCAAACAACCTTCCCCTAAACCTGCCACGTGAACCAAGGCATAACACAAAGGAACACAGAAAATTGAATTTTCATTAAGCTTTGTTTCTTTGACCTGGTCCAAACCCGCTTATTTTAGCCTAATTTCTTATCTTTGCGTTAATAGAAATTAGTGTCTCCCTTTTGTCCTTGGAAAGTATCTACCAGTAAGGATCATAGATTGTAGGCTGAAGCTTTGAACATTATTGCAATAGATCAATATTTAAGAACTTCATATATTTGTACGTGTAAATTTCTCAGAAAATTTTAATGGAAGCATTTTACCACATAGGGCAAAGTAGCAATGTATTTTAGAGATTTTAACATTTAATTGTTAGCATGAACTATGATTGAACAATTGGAGGTAGGTGGGGGGCTTGTTAGTTTTTTTAAACAAATTCTTTATTTTAAATTCTTCCCAGTCATACGATATTTCCATATCTAGGCACAGGTCCTAGAATGGGAATATTTTTCCTTTTTTTTAATATAATTAATATTTTCAAGTGAAAACCTCTTTTTCCTTCTGATAAAACAGGCAGTTTTCTTTTCATGTTTCAATTAAAATAAAATTAAACAAAAAGATAACCAGCCTGCCCACATCCCCAGCTTCCCTTCGTGAATCTATAAAATATAAACTTTCAGTATCCTGCTAAGGTACTGGAATACAAAATGAGATGCTACATATAGTAGACATATGACTGGAAATTTATTCTCCTTCAGTATTTCAGTTGCATTAAGAATAAAATTACTTTTTGTGGAATCCTATGCAAACTGAAGGCATAAAATAATGTCCATTAAGGGGATGTTAAAATTCTAAATGCTAAGTATCTCTTCTCTGTCGTTTCTTTCTTTGCTTGATATCTCAGTGGTCTTGTCACACTGGACCCACATTAAACCCACAATATTACTCATGTTTATCTTGGGTAAGGATGATTCTGTTCGTACTTTATTATGTAAGGGAGAAAAGGTACCCTTCCATCAGAAATTCAACACACAATTTTTAACCTGCAGGAAGTAGGAAGAACCCATAACATATCCTAATGAATACTCTGTTCATTTCTTTAAAATAACTATTAATACCACAGTGTCATAGTGTAACCTGAAACATCTTTCACATGACTTCTGATAGTTTAAATACGAAGCAAATAATTTCAAAATTGAATCTGTATTAAAAAAATTAAAATGTTCATATGTCTTTACTTGATTTTTTTTTACCATTTTACTATAGGCTTCAGAAATTAAGCAACCAGCTTTCAGTATTCAAAGACATTTCTACTAATGGTTTCTTCTCTAGAATATTTAACATTTTCTATCTCTTTTTGGCAATGTCTCTTATTGTTAATTTTTCTTTAAACCAAAAAAATCCTCAGAGCTTTTGTTCCTATTTATATCCTTGCTTTTCATTATTCAGAGCATAGATGTTAAATACAATGGTTTTTTTAGTTTACTTTGAAGTTTCTTACACTGGAAATAGGTGACATATGTCAGGGTCCTTGTCAGTCTTTGGCTAACCCACTACCCATTGTGCAATTTTTATTAAATTAACACAAATTAATAAATTACACATAAAATCTTGAAATTGCCATAGGATGACAGGAAAGGAGAAAGTAAAAAGTATCCTCATTTACAGCACTAAACTCAGAATTCTCAAAAAAAAATGTTAAATGAACATTTATCATCTGAAAATATTTGTTAAAGAAAGTTGCTAGCATTTTTATTCCTAAAGCTCTTTTGGAAATGGATCTGTTTTCCTAGATCACTTCTGAAATCTGCTTTTAATTCTGATGCTGACAGCCTTCAGGAAAGGTATGAATGAACCCTAATCGCACAAAATTTGGTCTCATAGTAAGTGAAAGAGAAGAGAGGAAGTGGATGCAGTGATAGCACTTAAATGCACTTTCCTGACAAGAACCAACATGTTCCTGAAATAAGTACTTCAGCTTTCCTCCACAGACAGAGA